GAAAAGGCTTCGAAAGTCATCGTATGTACATATTGTTTGATAAACTGTGTATAATGATCAAGAAACAATATTCTACATGTACAATAATTATCATTGTAAAATAGATCATCATTAATACTATTAATAATATCAATAGCATTATTATTATTAATACACTGTACTGCAGATAAGAATGAAACTACAATTACTACTAGGAACCACATATACATATACAGTACAAACACGAAAAGAGTTAATCGGCTTGGGATGTAAGAAATGGAGACAAAAAAGCAGTTACATAATGGACCTAGCCACCTCAATAAGAAAGGAAAGGAATAGTTTGATAAAGTTACTTATTTCTGAAAAGCACACACATAGGTTACATGTAATACTGGTTACATGTATTACAATCTTATCAACACTTACCATGCATGATTTCCATTTCGCTTTTTTGGCACTCAGTCGCTTAAGTGACACAAATGAACAAATCACTCATTTAGACCTTTTCAGCCCTCCATTGTACCTCCAGGCGTGGCTAATTGTAATTGAATATCATTCTGATTCACTTGTTTGATTTTACCTCAGTCTGATATCTCTGGTCTGATATATTGCTGTTATACAAAGAAGATGCTGGATGTAATGCTACATTAATGAATCTTTACTCTGAGTGTAACAGTGCTGTTTACACTGGTGTATCATGATTTTATGAAGATGGCTGCCAGTCACATGGAGGGAATCGGGATTGCTTTTCTTCAGTTTTCTAAGGCTTACGAAGGTAATACCGAAGTTGCAGCCTATTCTGACAGTATATCAGATGAGTATAGGTTGTTATAAAGTTGGCAAAAGGACAATTTCTGAAGATTGCAATTTCAGTGGTCATTTTTGAGTGAAAAAAATTATACAAGCAGTGAGTCAGCCTATTTTTGACATCTGATTATGATGCTCTTGCTTGAATTATTCAGATAGGCATGATAATTATGTGGATGGTGTCACTGAGGTTGCTGCCATGTTTTGTAATTCGATTTGCTCAATTGAATGCAACACTGAAAAGTATTCATTACATTAGGATGTTTCAAAGGATGCTGTATTAATAATGCCAATTAAGGTAAAACAGCAATT